ATAAACAAGGGCTGGCTGCACTCACCTGAACATGCTTAAATGGGGTGGTGCTGCTGGGGGTCAATAAGTACAGTAAACCTTATCTACTAAACAGCTACTTTGGTGCTGACAGATTTTGCTAACGTCAATGTACTGTAGACATGTGCAATTCGTTTTGGGTCGAATATGTATTTGGACGAAATTCGGACATTCGGGTGCTTCCAAATGTCAGAATAGCCGAAGTGCCGAATTGCTGAATTACCGAGGTCCCGAATTACCGAGGTCCCGAAGTTCCAAAATTACCGAAGTTCCAAAGTTCCGAAGTGCCGAATTACCGAGGTCCCGAAATTACCGAAGTTCCAAAGTTCCAAAGTGCCGAAGTGCCGAAGTTGCCGAAGTTCCAAAGTGCCGAATTGCTGAAGTTCCGAAGCACAGTTTTGCCTGAGTACTAATATACTTACCTAGTGGAAGAAGAAGAATGTTACAATGTATACTATTTTAAATAAAAAGTATACAAATGTAGCCAGGATTCAGCTGTAAGCATTTGCAACACTTACAACAATCAAGAATCTTACATTCATATAAAATGTAAGTTACTTGGCCAGTCAATGTAATGACAGGAATGAATAAGTAGATAACTCCCTAATTCCAACGGTATTAGAGAGCTATCTACTAAAAGGCTGAAAGACCTAAATTGGTCTTTCAGACAAATTTACTAATACTAAATAAAGATTACTTAGTATTAGTAAATTATGCCCCTACTCGCTATACCGTGAATAGGGGCATGTATATTAAACAGTGAGCAGCCTGTGGCTGCTCTCTGTAAAAAAAAAAAAAAAAGTCCTCCCCCGGCCCCAACCCTTGAGCGGCGGGTGGGGGCCCTAAAGTAAAGTAATGGGGGGACCTATTGTCCTCCCCCCCGGCCTCCACCCCTGAGCGGCGGGCTGGTACCCTAAATCAGAATGGGGGGGACCTAATGTCCCCCCCGGCCCCCACCGCCTAATACTATTTAGGGGGGCCTAATGTCCTCCCCCTTTGCCCCCACCCCTGAGCGGTGGGTTGGGGCCTTAAATTAGAATGAGGGGTAAGGACCTAATGTCCCATACTTTTCAAATATAATGCTTAGTTATGTCTCCTCTTGTTTTACCTTGTATCTCTTGTTTTGTTTTGTTTTATTTTGTAATCCCAGTCCATGTACTGACCTGTCCAGTCATGCCCATGTTATGTTTTTGTTTTCCTCATGTCTTGTGTACATGTTCTGGGTTCTGCTTTCTGTCCTGTTCTGGTTCTGGGTTCTCCTAGTTTTGTCTTGTTTTCATGTATGGTGCCTATCTCTAGTCTTGCCCTGTTCTCCTAGTCTTGCCTTGCTTCAGTACTGGATACACTCCTGCTGCAGAGCCTCCCTATCCAGCTCCTGGGAGGTCTGCTTAATTCCAAGCTCCTAGTTCCTGGGATCCGCATAAGCTGAATCAGGGTTCTGGTATGTGGCTGGACAAACGCTGGCGCTCAACACCAGGGGGCGTGCGGTTACCCTGCCCTAGACCCTGCTAATCCACCTCCACACTGTGACTCCTACTCTGAACATCAGGCATACTGGGTCCCGGTCCTTGCACCGCCTCCCTGACAGTGTCTGGGTCACAGGCACCGGACCGCCACCCTGACAGCCTCCTAGTGAGAGAGCTTGTGTGTGTGTGTGTGTGTGTGCGTGCCTGCTAGTGTGTGAGCTTGTCTGTGTGTGTCTGCTAGTGAGAGAGCTTGTGTGTGTGTGTGCCTGCTAGTGAGAGAGCTTGTCTGTGTGTGTGTACCTGCTAGTGAGTGAGCTTGTCTGTGTGTGTGTGCCTGCTAGTGAGTGAGCTTGTCTGTGTGTGTCTGCTAGTGAGAGAGCTTGTGTGTGTGTGTGTGTGTGTGTGTGTGTGCCTGCTAGTGAGAGAGCTTGTCTGTGTGTGCGTGCCTGCTAGTGAGTGAGCTTGTCTGTGTGTGTGTGTGTGTGCCTGCTAGTGAGTGAGCTTGTGTGTGTGTGTGTGCCTGCTAGTGAGTGAACTTGTCTGTGTGTATGTGTCTGCTAGTTAGATAGCTTGTGTGTGTGCCTGCTAGTCAGTGAGCTTGTGTGTGTGTGTGTGTGTGTACATTCTAGTGAGTGAGCTTGTGTGTGTGTGAGCTTGTCTGTAGTAAGCTTGTGTGTGTCAGAGTTTGGCTGTACTACATTTGTGTGTGTGTGTATACCAATAAGCTTGTCTGTGCATGTCAGTGAGATTGTCTATCAGTGAGCCTATTTGTGTGCATCTGTAAACTTGTGTATTTATGTCCATGAGCTTATATATATCAGTGAGATTGTTTGTTTGTCTATGACACTGTGTATCAATGAGCTTGCGTATGTCAGTGAGATTGTCTGTGACTCCATGTGAGTATGCTTACTGTATAATTAAATGTTTGACTCTGAAAGGAATATTTTATATTAGAAAAAACAAATATATATATATATATATATATATATATATATATATATATATATAGACCAATAATATGTAAGGGGCTATGTCGTGCCACCCCAGATGATTGAGTCATATTTAAATATATATATATATATATATATATTTATTATGTATTTATATATGACTAAATCATCTGGGGTGGCAAGACATAGCTGTACGTATTACATGTGACAATATGTGGCGCAATGGCTTATGGGGCTGGCATAGATTTTTTTTTTTCCAGGGCTGCTTTGTATCGCTAGTCCGGCCCTGGGAAGAGGTAGCCAACACTGTTTTTTTTATATATATATTTTTTTTTAATTGGGGTATCCACCAAAATATTGGAACATATAAAAAAAGAATGTGGTGCATTTCTTGCAGTCCTGATGTATGGAGAAATGCTCAACTCCTGATGCATGGAAAAAAGGCCTTCACAAGCCTCTGCTATTGTGTACATAGTTTATACTAAGTGACCCATAGGTTGAGGAGGCGGTGACTGTAGCGGTGTAGGTGGAAGCAGCGGTGGAGGAGGTAGCCAACACAGTTTTTATATATATGTGTGTGTGTGTGTATGTGTGTGTGTGTGTGTGTGTGTATATATATATATATATATATATATATATATAAATTTTATTGGGTTAGCCCCCAAAATATTAGGACATATAAAAAAAGAAACATTTGTGGTGTGCGGTGCATTTATTGCAGTCCAATAAAGCCATCAGGTTTTTAAAAGTGTCCATCTCCACCAGACGGAATGACAGCATTTTAAAGGCCACAAATTTTGAAATGCTGGCATTCAGGTCCAGGGATCGCGGGTGACTAGGGGGTACTTCCTCTTTCTCTCCAGTGTTTGGGAGATGGACAGGTGAACGCTTCCATGGGACAGTGTGGAAATGCTGGACAATTGTGTACCTGGCCTATGCTGGTGCAGGAACCCACCCAATGAGCCACTTGTGAATGACTGATAACCGTGGAAATGACCCCTCTTCCTCCTGTGCCACATCCTCTACCATCATCACCCGAAGTGTTTTTTCAAGGAGACATAGAAGCGGGATAGTAAGGCTGAGAATGGCGTCTTCGGCACTGGCCATGTTGGTGGAGTACTCGAAACAGTGGAACATGGCACACAGGTCTCGCATGGAGGACCACTCATTGGTGGTGAAGTGGTGCTGTTCCACAGAGTGCAGCTGAAACTCCACTATCACCTGCTGCTGCTCGCACAGTCCCTCCAGCATGTGCAAGGTGGAGTTCCACCTTGTGGGCACGTCGCATATGATGCGGTGAGCGGGAAGACCGACGTTACGCTGCAGCGCAAACAGATGAGCAGCAGCAGGGTGAAAACGCTAAAAACGCGCACAGGTGGCATGCACTTTCTGCAGCAGCTCTGATATATGGGTAGTTTTTCAGGAATTTCTGCACCACCAAATTCAGCACATGAGCCAGGCAAGGGATGTGTGTCAAACCGGCTAGGCCCAGAGCTGCTACGAGATTTCACCCATTATCGCACACCACCAGGCCTGGCTTGAGACTCAGTTGCAAAAACCACTCATCGGTCTGTTGTTCCATGCCCGTCCACAGCTCCTGCGTAGTGTGGGGTTTTTCCCCCAAACATATGGTTTTTAAACAGCCTGCTGTCGTTTCCCCCTGGCTGTGCTGAAGTTGGTGGTGAAGGTGTTACGCTGATCGGATGAGGAGGTGGTAGAGAAGGAGGAAGTGGAGTAGGAGGAGGAGGCAACAGGAGGCAAAGCTGTGTACCCAAATAAAGATTGGCAAACATTGTATCCTGGAACTGTGTACCATCCGGTTACTGGGTAAATGGGTCTGACCTATTCTAATCAAAGGGGATAACCATTGGTTACCCAGGTCCCGCTTCAATTGGTGGCAAGCGGCGGGATCCCATGTCCCTGCCAACAGACCCATGGACTACAGTGCTCTAAAGCGACCTACACTGCAGGACTTGTGTGGAGCCAGAGGAATAATGCCTGGTGGGCGTAACAAGGCTGAATTGACTGCTGCGCTCATGGAGGATGACCAGGAATGCAGTGAGGCAACAAACCCCAGCCAAGGGCTGGAAATGAGGAGGAAGTGCACAAGGAGGTGGAACGGCGCCTGGCATATTACCAAGAGCCACCCTCAGAGAAGATTGTCAGCAGGACCTTTTTGGAGGTGCAAGCCTATGTCCTTGCCAATAGACAGAGGGTGACCTGCATGAACCCAGATGAAGGAAGAAGGGAGCAGAGGGCGCCAGGAAGCACAACCACCCTAGCCCACAAGCTACCATACAATGCCTTTAAACACTTCAAGGAAGCAGAAGACTTCAGAAGACTTTGTGCGCCAGTGCCTACTCCAAGACGTGGACCACAACGACTGGGTGACCATACTGGCCAGCAAGCTAGTGGGGAAGGCAGCAGATATTTACTGGACTGTACCAGAAGAGCAGATCAGAGACTATCCCTTTATTACACAAATCCTCCAGGCCCGGTATGCGATCACCCCCGAGCAATACCGCCGAAAGTTTAGGGAGACCCGTAAAGGGGAGAAGGACGCCCATGCGGAGTGGGCATGCTGCATCACAAGGGCCACCCAGAACTGGCTCAACTCCCATCAAGCCAAGTTCCCGGAAGAGATCACCCAGCTCGTCATGCTCCCCAACAACAAGGCGACGAAGAATTTGTATGTCATCCATATCAACTTTCGATGCCACTTTCTGTGCCTACCATGGTGACCACGGGTAACGGGGAATCAGGGTTCGATTCCTGAGAGGGAGTCTGAGAAATGGCTACCACATGCAAGGAAGGCAGCAGGCGTGCAAATGACCCACTCCTGACGCGGGAAGGTTGTGACGACAAATAACAATATACGACTCTTTAGAGGCCCTGTAATTGTAATGAGTCCACTTGAAATCCGTTAACGCTGATCAATTGGAGGGCAAGCCTGGTGCAGAGCGTCTGACCCGTGCGTACTGCAGCTGAAACTCCACTATAGCTTGCTGCTGCTCGCTGAAGTTGCATCAGGGTCCTGGCATGTGGCCGCACAAAGGCTGGTGCTCAACATCCTAATAGCCCTATTTTAAGGAACTCTTGGGGTGGGGATATTGGTATTATTATTATTGATTGTATTTGTAATACTTTCTTTTGTATTATTGTCGTCCCTGAGGAAGTTCCGCTCAGGAACGAAACGTGTTGGACCGTTTCTTTTTATCCTTGCGTTCATTTTAACGTTTATGGTGATTGTTTCACCTTTAACAAATAAACAATAGTTTGTATACCTTCACCTTCCTGGAGTCCTGTTTTACCAACCAGTGACTATGGAGTGGAGAGTGGGATTACTAGCCCCCCAGCTACTTCGGGGGAGGCACCTTATGAGCGCTGTTTTTGCCAACATCCTGTGAGTGCATTTCATGTGGCGCATGATATACCAAGTGTTTACTGTATTGCACTATTTTTTGTTTATTTCCTTTTGTTTTAGATTAACCCAGCCGTATCCCCAAATCTGCTGTTGGTTGTATATATTGCCTTCTATAGTACCTGCACCATAGGCAACATTTACTTGTCTTTTCACTTTCTTGAGAAGCGGTAACTAGCCAGTATTGCACACATACACCATATATGAAGTGCACACCCCATATGTACTATTTAACACCAAAACAATTAGAATGTTTACAACTGTGCTGTAAACGCAGTATTTGACGGTTCTATTTGACTCTCAGATATGAAGAGCACGCCCCAAATGTACTATTTAGCAGTTTAGCACCAAATCAATTAGAATTTTTACAAATGCGCTGTAATCGCAGTATTTGACGCTTCTATTTGATTCTCAGATTTGAAGTGCACTCCACTAATGCACTATTTAGCCATTTTAGCACCCAGAAAATAAGAATGTTTACAATTGCGCTGTAACCACAGTATTTGACGCCCCCTTTAGTAGGCATGGCTGTGATGACTTCTAAGGGCACACAAGTCAAACGCTTGTTGATTGGTTGCCATGCAGCCTTTCAAAACGTGCCATTAATTCGACGAACACTGAACTCAAACCTGAACATACACTGATATGTCCGTGTCCGGGTCAAGGGTCCAAAAAACTTAATGTTCGGTACGAACCCAAATTTTATAGTCTGGGTTCGCTCAACTCTATATATAGGCTCTGATAAATAGGGAGGGTGTCTTTATCCTCTTCTAAAGGCTTCTTTAACACACATCTTCACATTCTATTCTCAGTTTCACTTTCACATTGCATCCTCTGCGGGCTGCACACTACCCTATACTTTACATACTTTACACATATATCAGACTTACATCACATCGCTTTCTTCACATGTTTTTTTGTTTTTTTTTATCTTGGCATGTCGTCACATTATTTCACATTATTTGTATTCTTTTACTCCTCTTTTTTTTTTTTACATCTCACTGGATTAGATATTCGTCTCTATTCTATATTTTCTCCCTTACCCTATTTCTTATATCTAAGACTTTCTTCCTGCATTCTGTTGTATATACATCCCTATTACATTTTGGTACAGCAGTTTCTATCTTTATATGCTATAGGTAGCTGAGGGTTTATTAGATGCCCAATACCTTTTCTGCATATTCTAATCTGTTTGGGCAGATTTCTCTCTTAGCTCAAGATTCTTCCATTTTTCTTACACACTTCATCGCACAGGATGTGAATGAGCTGGTTTCTATGGTCACACTACACTAAGTTTTGAACACTCCCCCTCACGCACTAACATCATGCATGACATCACTGCACGCATTACGTCTATGCGTATGCACACATGGGACTAATAACTTCTGGGTTCGGGAACACGGATGGATGCAATCACACACTGTTGGTAAGTGTGACAAGACCAATCTCGCCACATTGCATTGGAGAAGCCTGGTTGCTCGCCTGCTGCCTCTGGACTATACCCCCCTGTTAAAAGACATCAAAAGCTTCATTCGTGCTTTTCTGCCTGAGGTTCGGTAGATTTGTTTGAATGTGTTATACCCCAGATAGGAATCCCATGGAGCCCATTCATATGAAACTGACTGTAAAGACTTTGGCTCCATGGCGATTAAACTGTATTTGTGTGGTCTGAGCGCCATTCACTTAATAATGTGCGCTCAGACCTGAGCTATCTGGGGATATGTTAAATGTATAGTTTTAATGTAATGTGTCTTACCTGGTGTATTTTAACATTAATGCTTGTTTTGTGTCCCCATGTGCATAATGGAGTCTTGCCTCTGACATGTCTGTGTTTTATGTATAAAATGGGACTTTGTGTATTGTACAGTATTTTAATGCTTTGTGCAAACCATGTGCATAATGGAGTCTTGTCTCTGTCCTGGGAGATAATTTAATTACTTCTCAATTATCTCCTGGGCAGAGGAGAGGAAGCCAGGATGCATTGTGGTAAAAAGTATGGTTACCTCTCAGGATAAGGGGGAGGGAATCTGTGGGTTGTAACTAATATGTTACTGGATATTTTATACCTCCCTGTGGGCGGTCCTGTATTTGCAAGACTGTAATAAAAACCAGGCTGGGTGTGCCAGCACCTCAGACCACTGCTTGACCCTCAACACGGAGCCTTGTCTCGTTCTTGGGGGGATTCACTGTATGCTGTTAGAGACTGATTGCCAGGAGTGTAAGCTGATTGTCTGCTTTTCCTGTTCGTCTGCTAGCAGCTATTTGGGAGGTTCCAGTTCGGGAGTTGGAGTGCTATTTTGTATCCAGTTTGGGAGTTTGGTGTTCTGCAGTAGCTGTGCCTGTATCTCTGGAAAGGGGGCCGATCGCCTAAACGGTTTTTACCCCTTGTGTGCAAAACGGTCCGTTACAATTGGTGGCAAGCGGCGGGATCGTTCCCACAGACTACAGGACAGCTACAGGCAACACCATTCCATGGATTTACAATTTGAGGGCAACACATGTCTGAGTACAGCGACCCTGACAGCAACAGAATGGAACCAGCAGTGTCATACGAAGAGGAGGACCTGGATGGCCGGGATGCATTAAGGAAAAGCTTCTGGTACCAGGCCCTGGATAATGTACAATACCAGCGGGGCGAGAGTCTCCCCAGTGAAGAGCAGCGGTTGCAGAAGCAAGTGGCCCTGCGGATGCCCTTCCTGGGAGAGCAGCCCCTGGATGAATGGGTGAAGGAATTGGAGCACCGGGTATGGCAGGAGATTTGGCTGGAAGATGCCTACCAGGCGCTCTGGTGGTATGGGGCACAGTACCTGCCCTGGACAGCCGAGCATGACAAGCCAGAGGGAGAGGAGTTTGATGGTCCTGGCTTGTTATGGGAGGCTTTTTCAGAGCCTGAATTTGGGAGCCCTACACAAGCCCGGTTCAGTGATATCTTGGAGTGGAGGGAGAGCAGGTATGACTGGGACGACACTCAGGACATTGAGCAAGACCTGGCTCACCTAGCAACCCTGGAGTGGGAACTGGAGCAGGACTACCAAGATCTCTTCCACTCCATTGAGAAGATTCAGCAGTACAGCAAGGTGACAGATCCAGTTCCAGACCCATTCAGCTGGCAAGACATTGTTGATATTTTCTGGGAAGAACCCCAGGTGGCCGGTAGAGATGGGACCGAGGTCTCTCCACCGGTCCTGCAGGGAATTGGGAGCCCAGTCTCCATTCCCCAGCGGCAGTGTAAAGTGCAGGGAGAGGAGAGCAGCGTCCTCCCTCCCCAGCGGCAGGCTGAGTTACAGGGGGCAGAGGTAGTTGTTCCTGCCCTCCAGCAGCAGAGTGATATGCCGGGAAGGCAGTGTAAAGTGCAGGGAGAGGAGAGCAGCGTCCTCCCTCCCCAGCGGCAGGCTGAGTTACAGGGGGCAGAGGTAGTTGTTCCTGCCCTCCAGCAGCAGCGTGATTTTTTGGGAATTGGGAGCCCAGTCTCCATTCCCCAGCGGCAGTGTGATGTGCCGGGAATTGGGAGCCCAGTCTCCATTCCCCAGCAGCAGTGTGATGTGCCGGGAATTGGGAGCCCAGTCTCCATTCCCCAGCGGCAGTGTTATTGGTTGGGAATTGGGAGCCCAGTCTCCAGTCCCCAGCGGCAGAGTATCCAGCAGGGAATAGAGAGCCCAGTCTCCCTTTCCCAGCAGCAGGACACTGTATTGGGAGCGGAGACAGTCGGTCTCCCTCCACAGAGGATGAAAGTATGTATGGGAGAGGAGCTTGCTACCACATCTCCCCAGCGGCGGATCATTAATGGGCAGGGAATAGAGAGCTCGGTCTCCTTTCCCCAGCGGCAGAGTGTTCTATCAGGAGAGGAGCCTGTTACCCCCTCTCCCCAGCGACAGCTTAGAGTATCCAAAGGGGAGACAGTCGGTCTCCCCCTCCAGCAGCAGAGCTGTGTAACCAAAGGGGAGACAGTCAGTCTCCAGCAGCAGGACTGTGTATCTAAAGGGGAGACAGTCGGTCTCCCCCTCCAACAACCAGGCTTCAACCAGGCTACCCTCCCAGTAGCGCTGGCAACAGGGCAGAGTGACGCTGGTCTCTGCCCACGCAGCATCCCACCAAGTCAGCGTACCCGTACCCAGCACAGCCGTGGTGAGGCACCTGGACATGGACAAGTTTCTCCTCTACCCAGGTGCAGTAACTATTTATTGTGGGTGGGCTGTGCTGTTGATTGTGTTTTGTGGGTGGGCTGCTGGACTAACAAGGGCACTGACCGGCAGGAGGTCAGATACCCTGTTAGTCTGTTTGGAAAAGGGGAGAGATGTGACGAGACCAATCTCGCCACATTGCATTGGAGAAGCCTGGTTGCTCGCCTGCTGCCTCTGGACTATGGCCCCCCTGTTAAAAGACATCAAAAGCTTCATTCGTGCTTTTCTGCCTGGGGTTCGGTAGATTTGTTTGAATGTG